CACGGTTAATAGGAGTAACGTTGAAAACGTGTGACACACTGACATAGATTACATCATCATTTAAAGACAGGTATAATAACTGGTAGTGTATGCTATCTTGGTTGATATATATATATATATATATATATATATATATAAACCTCTCCAATGACAGTTTGCAGGTACTGACATCTTTCGGCGCCTGTATAAACATTAACCAACTTGATACCACAATATTGCATATCTAATCACCATTTACATTTAATAGAGTAGATTTGAGTTGGGTGGTCTATGACGTCTCAGTAAACATTAACCTACTTAGTAAAATAAATTCACATATAATATCGCAGCTATATTGCTGGCGCTAATATTGGTGGTAGGTGGGATCAGTTCTAACTTGCCATCAATTTTTATCCCAATTTCGATATTTGCTTCGTATATAAGTTTGCATTTTTGTTAGCAAAAAAAGAAAAGAAAAAAGACCTCAGTATTTACGAAATGTTGATGCTGATTAAATGTATATTGAAATGATTTCATCTTTATTTACATATGGACAGTTGTCCTCATCTTTGTTGATATGATTACTCCTCATTCCCAAAATTCAAATTTCATTTCTACTTTTTTGTCATCTCCCATAATACATCGGATCCCTCCGTAAGCCAGCGAACATGAATAGCCAGCGGTTGAAAAAATTCTAACACAAGGTCACTGTCTTATAGCACTTAATATTTGGGCGTCTGAGGCGGTGTAATGGTTAACAAGCTTGTCTCACTAGAACAATTACTACTTGAGTAGTGAGTTCGATACTCACTGGGTACCCCCTACATTCGGCCTTGTGCTACATCTTAGCTACGCTTGGAAAATCGCTATAGCACTTAATATTAACCATTGCTCTATTTTTCTGTCATGTGTTCGATACTTGATATCTCTTCGCTATAACTAACTCTGGCACAAGGCCACAATCTGAGAGTATTTCATAGATATATATATATTTATAAGCAGATAAATTCAATATTTGCAAGGCAATCATTGTCCTAATTCAATTTTTCGAAACGATACTTAATATCTGTTCGATATTATTAACTCTGGCACAAGGCCACTGTCTTAGAGCTCTTTATAAAATATGTAACTTATAAGCAGAGAGATTAGATATTTGTACAGCAATCATTGCCTAATTCAACTTTTCGAAAACGATAATTGATATTTGTTGGACAACTCTAGCGCAAGGCCAATATCTTAGAGTTCTTCATAAATATATATCTTGTAAGAAGAGGGACACAATATTAAACATTGTTTTAGCTTAAGTTTCCGAAACGATGTTATTTGTTGGATTTACCCAAGTCTGGCATAAGGCCACAGTACTAGTATAATATTTGCATTATTTTAATACTTTTCTAGTTTTAAGCACCAACCATCGCACTACACCAGATGTTCTCAACCAAGGGCGGATAATTTCTTCTGGTGAGGATCTGAGGGTTTTTCTGACTTTTCTTTACAAAATTTACGAATGTAAAAATAACAAACTCCAATATAGATTAATCCATATAAATGTATATATATTAATAAAAAAAAAGGAATATGGAAAAGAAGAATTTAAGTAATGTTTGCATATTATTTGGAATGCACCTTTTCGGTCTGAAAATCTTGGAAAGGGTTGAATGTCTTTCTGATATAGGTAAAATGTGTGCATTGGGAAAAAACGCAAACATAGATTAAATGATAAAAAGGAAAACTTATAATTTCTGTACGAATATATGGTATGAGAAGTTGTTATTATTTGCACTATTTACTATGTATTAGCGATTAAATCTAACCCGAAGAAGAACAAGACCAAGAACTGCGTGTACGCCAGTCCTTGCAGTTGTAGCAAAAAATGTGAAACATGCCTTCCACGTACAAGTAAATTGGAAGGAACTTCTAAAAGCCAGCGTGAGAGGTGAGGTCACCACAGAGGATTATCCTACCGGATAATGGTCTTGCGGATTAAAGCATAATTTCGTTAATTTGGTGAAATTATTTATGAGTTCAATCCCTAGGCCGGGCAGTGTATACTTGGACTTAGTGAAAACAGGGCGAAGAACAATTAAAACTAACGAGATATCCCGAGACATGGGCAGCGGAACGAGAACAATTTGCACTCATTGATTAAATAAATCAGAATAGATTTGTTGAACGATTTTTATCTTTATTATCAGAGATAAGAAATAATGGTCGGCATTGATGATTTTTGTTGCGATTATATATATGCATACATATGTCTATATCTATATGTGTGTGTGTGAAATATATATATATATATATATATATATATATATATATATATATATATATATATATATATATATATACTATTTTTATTTATTATATATACGCTACTTACTGGAACGCACTCAATATCAGTGATAGAGCTATCATATTTAGCTGGACTGCTGTGACTTTTTGACCCTGGGTTTCACGCTATATATATATATATATATATATATATATATATATATATATATATTAAGGTAGATAATACTTG